AGGCCAGAAGATAATGTATAAGACACTCACAAAGAAGTTACTGTAAACACCCTGGTTTCCTGAGGGACAAGATGATGTAATGTTAAACTTTCTCCCCTAAAAATGTACTAACTTAGAATATAAAAGGTACAGTAAAAAATAAAGATTTGCCAGACCCTGCAAAAAAAAAAAAGAAAATGGAGTTCAAAGTTGACCTTTCTTCATGAAATGGATGATAAATGAGATAAGGCATGCAGCGTAATTAGCAGAGGATGTAGCAGAGAGCATCAGGGTTAAAAGTGTTGATTATGAACATGGATCTGCCACAACCTCCTGCATTTTATTAAGCCCAAATCTGAATAATCCCCATCTCCACATCTCAGATCACAAGCCTCTTTCTTTGTAATCCTCACAGTGCCTAGAACTATACTCAGCACCTAACGGGTGGCCAAGAGGCTTTTTATTTCTTTTTAGTGAAAGTGTATTTTGTTTTTAATATCTAAAGTGGGCTGATACTCCTTGATTTCCTTCTCTCACAAGATGATGGGAGCAAGTGAGGAAGGTGTAAGGGACTGGAGATGTGTGTGATCTTAGGGTCACCTTGAAGGCGTGTCCAGGATCAGATAGTTGGCACCCAGACAGTGGGCGTCCCGCAGGCACACTGTGACCTGTGAGCTTGTCTCCTGAGCTGAGCTCCTTCTGCAGCCCTGCTTTGGCCCCCAGCCAACCCCTCCACCGCTCTCCACCCCACTCCCTTTGAAGGCTTTTGGGGAAACTCTAGAGCTGGGGTGTTCATGTGTGCTCTGGCTCCAGGCTAGGGGGCTGTTATCTGGTCCAGTCACCATCGCCAGCTCCTCCACTCCTGTTGCTGTGGGACCCGTCGCTCTTGCTCACCTGCAGAGGCGCCCTTGCCTTTTGCGGACACAGTCTTCACATCCCCTGAAAGACAGCACCGAGGTCACTGTTTTGACTGAGCCCTTAAACCGCAGGAGCCCACAGGACGGTCCAGCCTGTGCGTGGACCTGCTGTGGGGCTTGAACTAGGTGTGCCCCAGGGACCTCGTGGAACAGCCATGTGCAGGAACATCATTAACTCAGTCCTCACCGATCTCATACTGCAATAATTATGTTGATGAAGACTTGGCTTGGCGAACAACTCACAGTGAGCAAAAGTACACTGTAATAAACTTTTGTGACCTGAAAGCCCAGACATTTTTTGGAGGACATACTAGGGGTGACCATGGCATTCAAACAATAAATGTGCTTGTGAGAAATGACTCTTGATTTCTTGGTTAAAAGGCTTTGCACACAGGTTCCTAACCTGGGCTGGAAAGAAAAAAAAGGCAAAGACGGGCCTGGAGAAGGGCTGAGCACAAGTCTCAGATTCTATACGACCACTGAGTTTGTGGGCGTGTGTGAGATTTTCTGGAAAAATTGTTTACAGCTTTCACCAGGTTCTGAAAAGGGTCCTTTGGCTCCACAACCCCACCTCCACCCCTAAAATGTAAGGAACTGCTAATTTAGAAGACCAAACTTCAGATAATCAAAGAATAAACACTTAAGTATCTCGGAAAAAAAAAAAAGTAGAAGAAGACTTAGTGTTAGACCTTGAGAGGATTGTAACTCATTTCATTTGCATTTTTAAAAAAATGTTCTGTGGCTTAACTTTTCTCTTTCTTTACTGAGCTCCCTGAAATCCATGATCTCGAGAGATTCACAGGAACCACTGTGTGAAGAAATATGGTAATCCAGGACAGAATACAGGTATTTGGGAAGAAAAAAAAGCTAGCAAGTGGTTTGCAAAGCTTTTTTTCTGAGTTCTGAAAATCATGGGAGGACCAGTAAAGGTGAGAAAAAAAAATGCCACAGTGGACTTTAGATGTGCCAGGGGAAGTCTTTGCTTCCATGATAAGCACACACAAATCAATAGGGGAGTTTGGGAAAATGCAGCCTCTGACACAGCAAGTCTGGGTTACAGCTCAGGACTCTGCATTTCTAATATGCTCCTGGGTCAGGACCACACGCTGAGGTCTGAGGTCTCGGAAAACAGATCAATGACAGACGGAATGGCCAAAGTGGACAGCGATCAGATTTGCTCTTACCGTTAGCTTCTGACACTAGGTAGGTGTCGGTGTACGCAGCTTGTTTTTCCTTTTTTAGGGTGTCCTCTGAAAAAGAAGCTGTACACACAACCCATGATGATCCCGGATCTTCTCTCCCTGCTCCCCCACCCATATGCTTTCCCGCTTGCAGAGGTGGAGGTTAGCCTGGTAGGAAGAGGGCCCTGCTTGCCTGGGGTTAACCACCCCCAGTCTGGGCCTGGGGTTAGGTAACTTCTTGTTGCCCAAAGACCCTTTTGAGAGCTCTTTGCTGGAATTTTCCTAGCTTGTCTGCATTCAAGGCAGACCCTGGGACACTACTCAATAGACAGTTTTCATTTGAATGGAATGACTGTGGTTTCATCATTCAAATGTCTCAAATCACCTTGCTAGGACATTTGCCTACACTGTCTTTCTTCCAAAATCCATCTCATGGGCTCTCACGTACTTGCAGTGACACTGGCTGGGGAGGCTGTAAAGACCTTCCCGCTGTCCTTGGTCATGATCAGCAGCTCCATCTCCTTCTTGGAGGGTGTGTTGTCCTTCTCCAGGATCAGGAATTTACAGTCCTTGTGCAAGAGGTCATCATTCTGGACATTTGTGGTGCTGGCTGGAGAGGAAAGAAGTGGGTGATGAGGATGGAAAAGGTAGAGGGAAAGAAAAAGAAGTAACCAGGAGAAGAAGAAAAGGAGGGTGGAGGAAAGGAAAGGGGTAAGTGGGTGTGTCTGAGGGGCTCCTGCTCTCACTGATGCTGACAGTCATTACTAAGAAGCATCTTGGGGACCAGAGACATCTTCATGTCTCTGCATGGCTGGGCCTGGCCATCAGGAGGTTGGGTCAACATCAGAAGCACTAGGGGCTGGCCTGTGGGCTGCCTCCCACCCGGACTCTATAGGATCTTCAGTAAATGGGTCAAAGTTACTATGCCAGGTAGGCCCTTTTTTAATTAACTGGGTAGGTTCATTTCTAACAGAAAGTCTCAAGTGTTTGCATGCTGGGGGAGCTTTTCCCGACCACCGCATCCAGCATGCACACATCCCTGTCTCTACCACCTCACTACGTCTGTCCTTCAACTACGTGTCATTTTCTGTAATTATCTTGTATACTTTGTCCATTTGTCTGTTATCAGCTTCCTCCACTGGAACTGTCAGCCTGGTGACAATGGGAATCTAGGCTCTTTGTCTGTGTCTGCATAGTGCGTGCCTGTTCAGTCGTTAAGTTGTGTCAGACTCTTTGCAACCACATGGACTATATAGCCCACCAGGCTCCTCTGCTGATGAAATTTTCTAGACAAGAATACTGGAGCAGGTTGCCATTTCCTCCTTCAGGGGATCTTCCTGACCCAGGGATAGAATCCTTATCCCCTGCGTTGGCAGGTGGGTTCTTTACCACTGAGCCACCTGGGAAGCCCCTGTGTCTAAACCGGGCGCTCAGAACACTGTCTCACACAAAGCAGGTACTCAGTAAACAGGTTTTGGATGGATAACTTGTTGAATGGAGGGAAATACACCAGGATCAGAGCAGCGGAGAAAACAGGCTATCATGTGTCATGTGCCCGAGTTGATAAAGATGCCACAGAAAGTAGGGAGGGTGTGGCAGCTTCTGGGGGGCACCCTGGTCCTTGTGATGGGGCTTCCAACAAGGGTGGGGGCTGGGCTATGTGGGCCTGACCTTGGGCAGGTGTGGAGGGTGAAGCTTCATGGCCCCCTTGGACAGGAAGGCCAAGGTAAGGTGAGAGGTACACCCAGCTGCTCACTCCAGGAAATAACCAGGAGGCCCTTGGGTAAGTCCCCTTTGTAGACCTCAGACCACCCATGGGTTATGTCCCCTCCTGCCACATGTAACTAAGGAACAGACCTTCCTGTGTGCTGGCCTGCCTCTGGCAGCTGGCGACAGCTCTTACCTGCAGAAGTGGACACCCCAGTGCTCACAACAGTGGGACTCTGGGGCATGTTTTTCTTCACACCATATGCTGCAAGACAAGAACCACTGAATGAGTGGGGCACAGGAGGCAGCTCCACGCTGTGTAGAAGCAGCTGACCTGCCCTGGCAGACAGGCAGCCTCCCCAGGGGAGAGGAAGATAATAGTGAACAATAATAGTGAACAGAAAAATACTGAATCATGAAATCCACTGTCTCCAGCCATGGGGACAACAAAACTTAGATGAAACTTTGTAGATATAATCCTCATCCTTGGAGGATTGTTCCAAAGGCCACCTCCTCCATGAAGCTGCCCTACACCGCCCCCCACCCCGCAACTACTTCCCTTCGGAACTCCTATAGTACCAACACCTGCTTAGCACAGCTTGATTCATGCTCTCTTACAGGATCCCCCAGATGTTTCATATGCATGAGACGTTCACTCTTTGCGACCCCCTGGACTGTAACCTGCCAGGCTCCTCTGTCCATGAGACTTTGCAGGCAAGAATACTGGAGTGGATGGCCATTCCTTTCTTCAGGGGATCTTCCTGACCCAGGGATTGAACCCAGGCCTCCCACACTGCAGGCAAATTCTTTACCATCTGAGCCACCAGAGAAGCCCTCCAACTAAACAGTAAGCAAGTTGAGGGTAAAGCCTGAGGCTCGTGCCTCTTCTGTCCTGCCTCCCCCAGGTTTGCAGAGGGGTGCACTATAAAGTCAACCAAATGATTGATATGCAGTGACAGTGGGCAGTTAAGGACAGTGGTGAGACATGGGGACATAGAGGACACACCCCCAGCAAGGCACTCACTCGTGTCTGAGCCAGAACTTGACTGAGATTGGCATCTCTGGTCAGTGTATGGAGGGTTGTTTCTTTGGTGGGAAAACTCAGTTGACTTTTAGGGACATTTTGGTCCCTCTAATTCCATTGCTGAAAAGGGCTATTGTGAGCTATAGCTGCAAAGAGGTGTTGCTTCCCAGCTCCTAGGCTCCAAGCCCCAATTACACACCTGTGGAAGTGGTGGCCATGCCGTGGGACAGGGTGGATGAGCTGGGGGCCAGATTGTTCTGCATGCCGAACACTGAGAGGAATTGAGGACAGGTGAGAGCAGATACATAGACGAGGCCATCTAAGTAAGGCAGCCAGTCCCAGGAACCCCCTAAACCACTTTCACGATGAATGCACTTGCATATGACAGAGATTCTGAACTTTCTCAGTTCCCACACTCTTACTGACATGGTAATTTTTTAAACACTGCTTCTTCCCCCCACTGCCCCACCCAGAAAATTCCTAAGCTCCGTTTATTGAGCAACTTAGGTCCACACAACTTAATAGTAGTAATTTGCATAGGTTGCAAAATACAGCAATACAGATGTTGCTGTATGCTTCAAAAATTTCAAATATCCCAGGGGTTCCCTTCTCTGCAGGACCTTAGGGTGCCTTGGTATACAGCACGGGAACTGCAGATCCAGACACAATGGCTGAGGCACTAACAGGGCAGGACCCTATTTTTCCTTCTGACTCAAGCGCGTAGAAGTCCCCTCACTCCCAGTAGTATTTCAAAGGCTGGTTGGTTGTCTGTTTTTAATAATGTAGAAGCTCATTCCTCCCTAGTTAACAGCTTCTTGTATTCCATCCTATCTGGAGTTTGGGGCACAAAATCCAACATCAACCCACCCTCCTCAGTCAGGACTTTGCAGAGTAAACTAGCAAAGGCAAGAGGAAAAAAGCTTGAATCTGGTATCTGATGGGTTTGTGGGACACTAGTTAATTGGAGGTGTTGAAATCAGAAGTTAAGAAGGCCAAGGAAAATAAAAACGGCCTACATTGCTATATGATATTAGTCATGACAACACAGAAAGAAGGCAGATTCCTTTAACAAAAGAAATGGGCTGATAACTTATTTACATATAGGCTATGATGAAATATGTGGAAATAGAGTGAATAAATCCTTTAAAAAGATTATATATCTGTATTGGAAGCAAAGCAGTAACATTGTTTGAGCCCCCGAGGAACTACAGCATTTAAGATGTGGTTAAGTTCTTTCTAAATTAACAATGCTTTCCACCTAAAAATGTCCTGAGCTCTGCCTCACTTAGTCCAGTTCTGTCCATCTCTCCTCCTCTCCTACTAGATAAAGGGACAGGCACAGAATAAGCACATTAAGTGCAGCCTCTGGCCCCCTTTCCCTTGGGGGCCGAGCTGCGTCTGTGATGGAGGGCAGGCTCGGTGCCTTCTAATGCAGCTCCTTGGTTACTGCTTCTGCGCTGCCGTGTGTGTGTGGAGGAAGCCCTTATGCTCTTGGTCAGGAAGAACACCTTCCCTATAAACCATTCCATTTCCCTCACTAGGCAAGAGCAACCATTTTTTTTTCAAGCTGGCAAGCACTGACCTGAGGAGCTGGTGCTGATTCCCGGCTGCAGAGTTTGGGAGCAGGAGGCCATGTTATTTGGAACTCCAAAGACTGCGGGGGAGGGAAGAAGGTTGGTGAGAGTACATCCACACAGAACAGGGGCAGAGAAGCACTGGAAGAAAGGCCAGCATTGCACTGTGTTACATTACTGTTTTTAGGAAAACCTTGGGCTCCTGCTTTGCAGCATGGAACCAATCATTAGTCCATGGTGTGCCTTGGGTCATAATAGCCAATGGGCAGTTGCAGGTTGGTGGGGCTTTGAATGGACATTGATTCCAGCCAAGCCCTTCTTGTTCATGACCGCTTCACAGAGACAGCACTTAAAACCCAGAGAAGTTAAATAATCTCTCAAGTTCACACAGTTAATCCTTATATTTGTTTTCATGTTCTTTCTCATCATATATAGATATATGTGTGTGTATACATATATCTATATATGTATATATATATATAAATATATATATAATATATATATATTCCACCAGAGGAATCAGCATAGGAATTGAATTGAAGTTCCAGTGGAAAAATCTTGGGATGCTTGGCCACAGGAAGCCCTTCTAGGAAGCCATAGGGATGGCGAATGCTGGTGGGGCCGTTCAGCTCCAGCGTGAGGTGTGGCGGGGTCGGGACAGGGAGGGGCTGTGCGCTGCGAGCCACATACCTGATCCTGCAGAATAGGCATTGGTGTTGAGCAGGGATGAGCTCTGGGTTGTGATGTTGTTGTGATAGGTGCCCATGGAGGACCCCGCTGGCAAGGTGGAGGACCACACATGGGAGGGAAGGTTGGCATCCAGGATGGTTGTATCATAGGTGCCAGACACTGAAACACACACACACCCCAGTGAGACAAACCCATTCTCTGTGCTGGGGGAACCCAGTGGGCTTGGTTTGCCAGGACTTTCCCAGTTTTAGCCCTGAAGGTCCCTAGTCCTGGCAACTCCCTCAGTCTAAGGGAACTGCAGCAGTTGGTCATCCCACTTCTGTCTGAAATCTTGCTGCTGGTGAAAACCTGATCTCTTGGGTTAGAAATTCTTGCTGGCTCTTGGTGAAATTTGAAGTAGGTAAATTTTGCTCTAGGGTCCACCCATTTCTCCTTCTAAGCCCCCCACCACCTCCCAGTGCACTGTCCCCGTTAATGGTCTCTCTCTCTGTTGCTGACTCCCCTACACAGATGCCGTGGAGCTATGACTCCTTTACACTAGAATTCCAGACAGCAGCGCAGGAAGGGAAGTCCTCAGTTCTGAGGCCACTCGGTACCGGTGGCAGCCTTCTCCTGTTGAACACTCCTTAAACATTTCTTTGTGCCAACCAGACCCAAGGGGCATGCTGTCACCCTGAGTGGCATTGGGTGCATCTCAAATCTGAAACCAATTCTGCCTATGTGTTACCTGAGAGGGAGTTAGCCACACAGGGCACAAACTACTCCGAGGTTTGGTTTTATATTGAAAAACAAAAGATCATTATCTCAAGGTGGTTTTTTTTTTCCAGTAGTGAGAGGAAAGCTTCATCTCATATATAGCAGAACTGGCTTCTCTCCTCACCTCCCCCCAGGGACCTGCTGATTCATCTCTCTGCCTCCCATAGAACCCACCTTGCACTTGGCAGGCACATGATGTATGAGTGCTGAACTACACTCATCCTGCTTATCTTCCCCTCAGTCTACCCTGCTCATTGCCTTTCCTCAATGCCTGGTGCCTGGAATAGAGGCAGTATATAATAAATGTTTATTGGATGAGTGAATGAATGACTGAAAACATTACAACTTTCCCCAATATTCTTCCTTCGGGGAAGCTGGCCAACACATTCCCAGGACATGTCAAGAATTTCCTGGGAGAATCTCTAGGCTCTAGAGCCAGACAATGGCCTGCATGTGGGAAGGCTGACCAGATGGAGGCGAGAAGGGTGCAGTCCACATTTTCATGCTGCAGGAAGAGCAATGCTCAGGGTTTTGTGAAGCCTGCTGCATCCTGAAAAGCCTGCCTGGGCACACCTGTCAGCTTATTCCCTTCCTTCCACAGCAGCCTGGGGCTGAGGGGCTTACCTGACTGGGAGCTCGCTGTCACCACCTTGGTCTCCACGGTGCCTTTCTTGGGGATGGGGAGTGTGTTGGAGGAATTCCGGGTGGGGCTCACACTTGCTGAGCGGCTCCCTTTGAGCAAACGCTTGACATCATCCAATTCTGTCCCTGAAAGGAATTCCCCAGTTTTTCATTAGGCTTGGGATTCCTTCCCAAGTCCAGCTGCAGCGGTGAAAATTCACGGCACCCTGAACACTGGGGAGGATGAAGCATCCACTTCACCTGCTGGAACATTCCTGGTTAGCCTTGTCATTTCTGCATCTTGTCAATTTATAGCACTGATTAACCTGGCACTTTGTAATGTTAATGGCCTCATAAATCTAGTGGCTCTATTAGTAGGTCAAAGTTCTTCGTAGATATTTCCTAATTAGACATCACAGGGAAGATGCTGTGGCTGGAAGACCCTGTAATCCTGAATCGGGGGGAGCATTCACACCTGGGATAGCCAGAGAACAAGACCCCTTGAAACAAATGGTTCAGTGGTGGTCTCATCCCAGGAAGAGGCTGCCTCGGGGGTGGGGTCTCTGACCTTGTACGCTCTGAAGTGTCAAAAGGAATGTGTGGCCCGTAACTCTCAAACATTACGCTGCTTTCCTGTGAGTTAATTTCCAGACCCTCCAGCTGATAGGATTTGCAAGGAGGTGATTCAGTGGAGCCAAACATGCTGTGCCTCCCAAGGTGGCAAACAGAAGAGGGCAGCATCGTGCAACGGCAACGTGTGAGAGGAGACATTTGCTGGTGACAGCGCCAGAGGGCCGCCCAGGCACCCCCGCCCCTGAGAGCTCCAGACTTTGTGCTCAACAACCCCCTCCCCAAGCCTGGAAGGACTCAGGTGAGACCATGTCAGGCCTGGAGTTGGATCCCACGGCCCAGGCCCTGAGCTCTCGGGACAAGTCCCAGTCTCTGAATCCTGAGCCGCCCGAGCCAGCTCTTTCTCCTCCTGGTCTTTGTTCTTGGCTCCCACCCACTTGGGCTCATTTCAAAATGGCAGACAACAGGAGAGCAACATGGTCAACAAACAGAGACGTCCGAGATAACCAAGTTCGAACTCTCACACTGCTGCCTTCTCTGGTCTTAACCACCCTTTGAGGCCCCTCCTGCTCCTTTTCCTTCAGGTATACTGAAACTCCTCCCATGTCTCTGCCCACTCACCTCGCTGAGACCCTCCTTTAGTCTCCCTTCAAGTGACTGACTAACCTGGGAAGACTCTGGCCCCCACTCCCTCCATCCCTGAGCTGTCATGGCTGGTGGTTTATTGTCTGTGAACTACAGAACAGCAGGGACCAGGACTTACTCGGCTCCTCACCCCTGCACTCAGCCCTGGGTCCCTGTCGCAACCTTAGACATGTCATTTATGACACGAGGGACTGCGCACACACAGCAGTAGCCCTGGACTCTTGAATCCTTTCCAGGACGTGAGCACTTACAGCGGGTAGATGGGGACGCACTCTGCAGTCGAACTCGGATCTCACTCTCTGTACAGGGAAGAGATGGAACAGTTGTGAAAGAAGGAGCTGGGCTCACAGTGCCCCACACTGACCTCTGAGCTGCAGATTCATCTTTGGGCTGCTCTGTGATTCAGGGACAGAAAACCTAGGTGTGCCCAGGATGAGTGCTGCTTAGAAAGAGGAGTCTTCTCCTTATACCGGATCACAACTGCCCCCCACCCCCCACCAGCTGCTGAGAGCAGAAACCACAGGCTGAGCCTGGAGGCACCATCACAATCAGCAATAACCAACCCCTTTCCTAGGGCCCTGGAGAAGGAAGTGGCAACCCACTCCAGTATTCCTGCCTGGAGAATCCCATGGACAGAGGAACCTGGCAGGCTGCAGTCCATGGGGTCACAGAGAGTCGGACCCGGCTGAGAGACTCACAACAACTTCCTAGGGCCCACTCCCCTTTACCAGAACTAAGCTGCTCTCCTGTCTCCAGGGTTTCTCAGCCAATAGCAAGAGAATTCTAGTATATTCTTAGCCATCTTGGTCTCTTTAGGGCAGCAAGTGGGTGATTTAACATTCTAAGTTTCAGGAGGAGCATCAGCATCAATCAACTATCAAATTGTGGGTGGTTGGTATGTGCCTAACTTTCCAGGCCCCTGGGAGGCTTAGACTGACCCTTACGAATGCCCAGGGCCTAGGAATTCTGCCTTCAGCACTGCCCTGACACACCGCTTGCCACCTCACTGAATAAATCAAGGGCAGCTTTCTCCAGGACCACATTCCCTGCTAGGGCCTTATCCACAAGCAGTTGTGGACAGTGCAAAACTCTTGCAGAGAACTTCATCCCCTGGAACAATGAAAAAGAGGGGCTTGTGCTCATTTTTTTTGTTGTTTTTTGCTGTGTAAATGCAATTACAGCACAACTTGCTAAAGTCACCCAGGAGACTGGACGTGAAATGAGATGTGATGCTAGCACCTTCAGACAATCCACAGCAGAGCAAACCACTCCACACGCTTGCTAGTCTGCTGTCAAAAATCCACCCTTCCCAAAGGAGACTCCCAGGTGCTACAGGTTCCTTGAGGTCAGAAACCATGGCTTATTCATTCTTTACTCCTCACTTTTCCTGGCTCATATCTGGACACATGTTAGATGCTCAGAAAATACTAATTGGATGAACTGAACTGAACCCAGTGACAGAGATTACCTCGTGTTTGGCTCCGTCCTCTGGTAGAAGAAGATGCTGAGAAACAAAGAAAAGTAACATAAGGCACATATAAGAGGTGGCATGCTAAATATCTGTGACATGGAGGCAGACCTATTTGTGTGGGGAAGTGGTTTTCATAGTGCATTTATATCCAGATAGAAACCTTTATGGATGGTGGATGTTTAATAAATGATGCCCACATGGCCAAAGGGAAGAGAAAATTATCTAAGCCCCAGTGTGTTTAGGGTGCTAAATTAGCAAATGAATGTTAAATTGGCTCACACTTAGAATGTTAACTAAGGTAATCATGATCCATTTGGACTGGTTGATCACATTGATCAAATTTATCAGGAGACTGCCAGGTCTTTCCTTTAGTTTTCTGTTAGAGACTGTCTTGGTTTTTGCACTGTAAGCGAGTAAATAAATGAAATTATAATCACTCATATCATCAGTTCTTATGTACCGTGGGAACCCAAGAATATGGACTCAAGATTTAAGGTCCCACCTCGGGTTTCACTCGGCTAAAATGTGCCCCTTTGAGGCTGCTGTGGTAGAAGTGCTGGGATGTTTGATATTTGTGTATTCTCACCCCTGCTCCCCTTTGTAGGAAGGTCTCTGTGGGTCCTGTGGAAGGGAAAATCTATGGTTGTTGCCTAGCCTTAGGGCTTATCTGCCCAAGCCTGAGCCTTGTATGAGAAGCTTGCCATTTCATGAGCAAAGACTTTTGACAGCAAACTGATGCATCTGACCATCCATCCCCTTAAGATGCTTCAGGATAAAGAGTCAAGAAAAAGAGGTCAGCGGAGGTCAGACTCTTCTAGAAGAACCCACTTAACTCATGATGTTAACTCATGATGTTAACTCATGATGTTCCCTCTCCATCCCTGCCAGGCTTGACCGACCATTTCTTTAGAAAATAAGGATAGGACATACCAAATTCCTTCCGAGGGTACTCGGGGGAAGAGTTGCCGCTGGAGCTCCCTGGAGAAAGGACAAACACTTAGTACAAATGGCCACTTAAGCCCAAATAGCTTCCGAGAGAGTGGGTCCTTTCTGCACCTCTGCAGCCTAGGTGTTCAGCCCAGGATTTAAACACATTATGCCCAAGGGACTTGCTTGTGGCACATCCTCCTGGTCACTGATCTACTTGGGTGAGACAAGGTGTGAACAAAGGACAGCTGTTTGAAGTTGTTCAAATTTGAACAACTGTTTCACTTCCTTTTTGTTTTCGCTTCCTCAACTCTGCCCTATGCAGTGCTGATGCCGAAGACCCATCTCTGATCAAATGAACACGCTGTCAGCACCAGCAGTTCTCTGACCTCGTGCGGCTTGTTCCAGAGGTGGGCCTCGTTAAGTGAAGAGACTGGTGCTGGCGGAGCAGCAGGGTGCGCTTGTGGTGATCCTCTCCACCTGGCCTGGACTTAGGGTTCTCCCTACCTTTGGCAGCCCTGGGTCAAAATCATTTACTGGGATATCCAGAAGCAGGATATCCCGTTTTTCCATCGCTAGTACCCATCTCATTCACTATTAGACCCATTTGCACCTGGCTTGTCTGTTTTCCACTAAAACTGTAGATTTATGTATATCGCCAGGAATTCCAGTAACTTTAGGAGAAGAGCCCAGATGTCTTCCTCTCACCTCCTTCTTGATCATGAGCTTGCCCCCACTCTCTCTGACTTAAATGGCATTGCCATTGACTCCTCCTTTCTGTGATCTGGCTCTTCTTTCTCCATTTTCCCCCAAACTTTATCTTTCTGTGTTCCCTCCTGCTTTTGAACTCTCTTCCCTGACAAACTCCTCCAGTTTTCCAACTTCTAACAACCCTTTGTGGATAACCCCAAGCTGGGTGTCTTGCCTTGACTTCTTACCTGAGCTCAAGTCCTATGTGTCCTATTGCCTGCGAAGTAGCCCCACCAGAAAGTCACACCAGAGGCTCTACTTCAGGACAAAATAACTGAATTCATTCAAAGGATGAGAGAAGTTACTGAGGGGAGAGAGTAGTTCTTTCTTAAAGTCTGTGGGGCCTGTACCTTCATATGTTCCATGGCGGCTGACATGAGTCTTCCTCTCGAAAGTCGAGCCTGGTGAGTTGGGCAGAGTGGAGGCAGGTGAATGGGCCCTCCTGTAACTGGAGGTGGAGGCACTGCCTCGCATGCTCCCACCTACAAGTGGGGAAAGACATAAACCCTCAGAGCACTTCACAGGGGGACATACAGTCATACTAGGTACACGCAGTCAGTCCTAATGAAGGAGGGCCCTGTGGAGGGGCCAGAGGCCTTCAGGAGAGCGTGACCGAAAGGGTGCTCAGAAATGGAGGTGGAATTATTGCTGCTGCCCTTTCCCAGAACCCTGAAAGGCAGGGAGGTCCTTTCTGTCTGTAGCCAAAGTGCATGGAAGTGGAGAAGCAGGCTGTTTCCTAAGGACCTGGCCTGTAATTGTAGACCACTGCTGGGTGCACTGGAATACAACCCCACATGCAAATATTTCTCCACAGGTAAGGACATGTGCAGCTCTTGGGCAGCTCAGCTGTTTGCATATCTTGGGTCTTCTCTTCAGTGTCATTCCAAGATTTAAAAAATGACTTCGGACTCACAGACTTGGAGAATGAACTTCTGGTTGCAAGTGGCGAGGGGCATGGGAGGGGAATGGGGAATGGAGTAAGGGATTGTTAGGAAGTTTGGGATGGGCTTCCCTTGTGGCTCAGTTGGTAAAGAATCCGCCTGCAATGTGGGAGACCTGAATTCGATCCCTGGGTTGGGAAGATCCCCTGGAGAAGGCAAAGGCTACCCACTCCAGTATTCTGGCCTAGAGAATCCCATGGACTATACAGATTGCAAAGAATTGGATGCGACTGAGCAACTTTCACTTCACTTCACTTTGGGATGGACATGTACACACTGTGGTATCTTAAATGGATAACCAACAAGGTCCTACTATATAGCACAGGGAATTCTGTTCAATGTTGTCTGGCAGCCTGGGTGCGAGGGGAGTTTGGGGGAGAATGGATACATTTATATGTATGGCTGAGTCCCTTTGCCATCCACCTGAAACTATCACAACACTGTTAATTGGCTATGCTCCAATATAAAATATAAAGTTTAAAACTATAGCTTTAGAGGCAATGTGCATGTATATGTGTTTTCCCTGCTTTGTTTGTTGTGTTTCAGTTGAAAGCTACCAGGAAATATTATTTCTTTGGCATCTACTGGGTCTGTGTTGGATATTTGCCCAGTGGAAACTCACATAGTCTGGGGTTGTATGTCACCAGATTTCCTTAGCACAGTAATCTAACCATTAAGTTTTTTTTGTTGTTTTGTTGTTGTTAATTCAACTGTAAACCCTCAGACATGCATACCCTTTTCTAAAAGAAATGAATTAAAGAGAGTAACTAGTTCAGCAGGAAAGGAGTCACCTTTCTAGGAAAGCTTCTTAATCATGTTATTTTTATTGGGGACATAATGACAACTGACCCCATTTGAAATAGGCCTCACAGCTCTTTAGGGCATTTGGAATGGACGACAAACAGTGGTAGTGACCCCTCTCCCTGCCCATCTGCCCTTCCCCGACCCCTCCCACCAGCAGGCACTTACTTGAGTTTATGTAGCCGCTGCTGCCATGCGTCAGGCTCTGTTTCTCCAGCCGGCTCCCTCCACCCAGAGATCCTGTTTTAGCATAGCCATTGCTGGTCCCCCCTTCTGCAGAAACGAGGAGCAGGTGACAATATACAAGTGGACTCAGCAGCCCCTCTCACCTGCCTTCCCTGGCTTCTCACTCATGACCCTGTTGGTCTGGGGCCTCTTTCCCACCGGCACCACATGGATCTCATTTTGTTTGTTTTTGATACAAAGGTCAAGAGCAAATATTCTACCCAATTTAAAAAGAAAGTTCCCAGGGTGGTTGCTGGTTAGGATAATTTAAATATTAGAAAAGTCAGCAAGTAATGAAAACTCCTTGAGGCCAGGGCCCAGGTTGGACTTTTGTGAATGCCTGGCCAGTGCCCTGGACCTGGCAGCTGCTGGAAGTGTCAGAGGGCTGAGCGACAGCTCTATGAGGATGGTGTTTCACCTGGCAGCTCTTCATGCTCCAACCTATGTGTGGATGCGGGGGCTTCCCACCTTGTCCTGAACCAGGATTCCCAGGAGGTGCAGGGCTAGCTTGGGGGCTTGGATCTCCATTATAGAATCCACTAACCCCAGCAACCTCCTGAGAGAAGAGTAGATTCAAACAGAAGCCTGACTATGGTTCCCTCCTCCCAACCCAGGCCCAGGCTGGAGAAGATGTCTGATATTTTAGTGTCCAATCAAATCTATAGAGACAGAGCATATTTGTGCTTTTTAGAGGCCAGAGAGAGGGGAAGGAGGATGGAAATGTTCTAAAATTAGATTGTTGCAAAGGGGCCACATGACTCTATGGATGGACTAATGACCATTGAATTACACACTTCAAACTGGTGGATTCTGTGGGATATAAGTTAAAGTCAACACAGCTGTTAAAAAAAGATTTCTGATATTCTGGATTTGCTGGACTGACGAGTGAGAGCTCATGAAAAAGATTATATGTGGAGCCCTTCACACGAGCCTTAATGAGAAGAAAGTTCTCAAAATAAGTCACTTACTTGGTGGTAAGGATGTAAGTCTTGTAGTTACTGTTTCTGTGATGACTAGAAAAAGACAAAGAAAAGATGAGATCTTATGTAATGCATTGAAATTCCTCTACTTTGGCAAGGTCTTGCATCATTCATAAGCTCAGCACATTAATGAGGTTCAAGGTAGATTTTTACACACTTGGGCTTCAAGGGATTTGATCTGACCCACTGTAAAAGCAAATAGGTGCAATAACAATGGGACTTAATGTATCTGGAAAATAGCTTTATATTTCTTTGGGACCAAAAGTAGTTAGTTACCCACTGATTTGAAAAACGAGTTACCATGCATTAATGTCTCTCATCTAACAATTAGATCTCGCCCAGGCCTGGATTCACCTTTGAAGCAGGATCAGAACCTCAAGTCACTTTTCTCTGCACTGTCCCTTCTGAACAGTCACCCAGTCCAGCTGAGGCCAGTACATCTTCCTGGCTGATTCCACTGTGATGTGGATAATGACCTTGAACTTCTTTATGAATTTGGGGGGTATCTCAAGGATGCATAATTCATTCTAAAATCTTCAGGGTCATGCCTGAGTGTGAGGAGATGTACGGAGGAAGAGGGTTGATAAGTCACATTTGGTGCTTGGTGAAATCATGGACAGGTGAATATCCAAGACAGACTTGAGAATCAGTCCCTTTGCCTCCTAAAATAGAAAGGGAATTTGCTCAGTCGTGCCCGACTCTTTGCGACCCCATGGACAGTAGCCTGCACCAAAGCTCCTCCATGCATGGGATTTTCTAGGCAAGAATACTAGAGTGGGTTGCCGTTTCCTCCTCCAGGGAATCTTCCCGACCCAGGGACTGAACCCAGGTCTCCCGCATTGTAGACAGACACTTTACCGTCTGAGCCACCAGGGAATGGAAAAGGTGCCAAGTGGTGGTGAGTCTATGGAGGTCATAAAAGTTTTTTGTGTTTTTTAAAAACACCAGTTAGAATAAAGACCTCTTGCCTTCCTGAATCACTCTCTCCTCTACAGCAGCATGGGGGGGTGGGTAGATTCTGAAACCATAACCGGGTCAATTTTGTGCTCTGACCGTGACCATCACCAACCACTACCTCCCTCTGGGTTGGACATCAAGGTGCCACTATTTAGCTGAGCCCCCCGTTTTCTGAAATCACACTTCTCATGCATATGTGTGTGCACAAGCCTGAGCATATGCATATATGTGGTATGTATGTAGGTATAGCTCATGAAAAAAGAAAAGGATGAAGAAGATGGTGGGGTATCACCTTGTGTGCTGGCAACTGCTCCCTCCCACACAGGTCTTACTGCTCCCACCTGTCACCCTTTCTTTCTACACCCTGCGTGTTCCTATTAGTTTGGTTGTCTTAGCAGCAACGTGAGGTTATTAAAGGAGCAGAAGCAGCATCACATGCATAAAAGGAAATGGTTGTAGAGACAAAAATGGCAGCTAGATTTGAATAATAGTCCTTGAGCTTTCACTAAACCTCTTGTTGTGTGACTTTTGGGATTCTATGACACATAAAAATAGATTATTTCTTAACTTAGAGTTCTAAGTCTGTGGACACAGAGTTTTGTTTTGTTTTTTGTTTTTTTTTTTTTAGAGATATATGAAAGTCACAGGATAGATGAAAGAGTTAGAGCTGCTAAGGGGACAGTTTAAATGTCTCTGAATTTATCATTTGGGCAGTTTCACAAAAGAAATGTGCCTGTTTTCAGTTTTCAGAGTAGATTGCAACTGTGACACCAGTGTGATTCCAACTTTGTCCCTGCAGTAATGGGGATATTATTCTTTTGTATTTCCATCACCCTGTATCCCTAAATAAGAACACGATTGAATAAACTCTAGCAAATTCATTCAACATGATATTATGAAATCATTAAAAATGCTGGCTATAAAAACTGTAACATTGAAATGGCACTTCTGGTCTTTTGAAGAAAAAACGGAACACATTTCGATTACAAGTGTATTAAAAAATCAACAAAAGCCTTCTTAAAGGAAAAAGTAAAGCCTATTTAGGAATACATTAAAAATTATACAGTGAAAAAAGAGCAAAAAACTAAGAAAAAACTAAAAAAAAAACATAAGAAATAGAAAAAAGATACAGTAGTTGTGGTAGAATTAGGAACGAATTATTTACTTTTTCCAAACTTTTATTACTTTTATAATGACATTTATCATGCTCTTACTTCGTTCAGTGACTTCAGTGCCATCTCTTTTGTTCTTCTTGGTTACATCCATATCATCGCCACCTACAGAAAAAGCCAGAAACCAGGAATAGCCATGTCCATTACCACCCCTTTTCATATATAGTATGGGTCCCTACTATTCAAGCTGAGAACTAAAACTGGATTCCCAGAATTCAAACCATAATTCTTTCATGTGTGTATATTTTAATAAGAGTCATTCCCATTTCTTAGTTAGGAAGTAATTTAATAGTTCCACCTTGGATCCTACTCTTTTGTACTATCTTTTTTTTTTTCAGGGTCCAGTTGACCAGGTTGCACCCTGCTGAGCATTAAAGGTCTTACATAGATCTAGCACCCTGACATTTGACTATAAAACTTCCACTTTTTGCCAAGTAATACAATATCTCTCAAAGCACATGGTGCTTTCAGCTAATTCATTTTGATGTATCCCACAGTGTTCAGTGTTCTATACAATGCTCCGTGAATAAAAGAAATTCATGCTTCATTATTTAGAGTTCAGATGTGAGAATGATGTTTGATGGGTTGAAATCAGGATAAAAACCATTATGATGGTCATACTTGTGTGGAACTTTATCCTTCACAACATGAAATTTTCTCTTTAACACAACAGCCCTACTATGCTTCTTTACAGACTTAGGTAGGAAAAAAAAAAACAACAAGAAAGTCAATGTAAAATCTACTGAAATATGTAGGAAAAGATCTGTACAAGTTCTACGTTCTCCCTTCACTCTTACTCTGGGCAGAAAAATCACTGCGATCTTGTGCACTGTGTCCTGAAGCGTGGATGGGATGAGGCAAGGCTGACTTCAGGGGTGGGGCTGGGCTGGACTGGGGAGGGACACAGTTCAGGAGACCAAGGTAAGGATCCTTGTTCCAACTGGGTGCTTTTGGCTGTAGTTACCAGTCTCAGGCTCTGCAAGGACTTGAAAGCTGGCTTTCCCTGGGGTTCTCTCTGCCCAACCTTCCTTTCCTCCTCCTTGATCTTTTGGGTGCAGTTCAAATCGGGATTTTAGAATTCTAGAGCAAGCTACTCCCACCCAGGACACCCCTTTCTTGAAGATCTCTCCTTTCAGTCTTTTTCTCCTGCCTGGTGACTTTACGGTCTACTTATCCACTAGGCACAATGGGCACAGGGCCTAGTCCCATCATAGTTTCAGGGGCCCGCAAAAAGTTTTTAACTTCTTTTAAAATCAAATGGAAAAATGAACACGCTCTAACTTGGATTATATTCTTTCATGAGGTTTTTTGTCTTTTTTTTTTTTTTTAATGGAGGAAGGACATCAACAAAGGCAAAAGTATCTAGGTCAACAAAAGTCCAAATGAAGCCCTGGGTGAGTTCCCCACTGAAAATCAAGACCACACAAGACCAACTGGTCAACTACTTGATGGAATTCACCAAGATCCGCACAGTTAGCTTCAGGGCCTGATCGAATGTGCCAACTTTTTGCTCACCGGGGTTTTTTAAATGCAGCTCTAGGCAAGGAATGAGGCATCATGGAAAAATTCCTGGCTGCATCTAAGAAGACACAGAAGTTCTTTGCAGGTATGTTTCCCAGAGCTGAAGACCAGAGGCTCCATGAGCAATTTTAAGAGTGGAGTCCAGCTTTATCAGAGGGCCAAACCTGGCTTGTGACTGTGTCTGTAGTCCAGCTATTATCTGTAGGACTGTCTCACCAATCTACGTACAACCTGACACCCTCTTTGAAATCCACTGTTTAGGCATTAATGCCTTTGGCATCTCTGAAACCACTCCCCCACCTCCGCTCTCTTTTTTAAAATTCATCATCAGCTGTGAACCAGGAGGCATTTTGGAGATTAAATGTTCACATGCCCCTGGCTGCCAGTGGGGAGCCATCTAGCATGGCAGCACCCAAATTGCTATAAACAGTTCCTTTCAGGATAATTTTTTATAACAACCTATGGAAACTTTAACTTTCCACAAGTTATCACTTATTACCATCCTTAAATGAAAGTTGCTGCCGGCAGCTATAAATTTGGATTGACTGGGTCGTTTCCACTTAGAGCCATCAAGGCAGACTGATGATAGCTCCAGTCCATTTGGTAAGAGTCTCAGCGTCTAGGCAGCCAACCTGGCAAGTGTTTTCTTGTTCTTTCTGTACCTAAAAATATAACAAACATTTCTAGGTAGCCCCTATCTTTTTCTTAGGTCCCAAAGATGAAGCCTTAAGATCTGCAACAAAAAAAGCCAAGAGTTCCCTAACTTCCAGAGGGCACAAGGAGATAGCCTGCTAAGAAATCAGATGCCCCCCTCCAGAATGGGAGGGAGGGAAGCCCTCACTGGCCAGTGCTCTAGAGATAGAAGGGCCCTGGGTGGGTGAAGGTAGATGCGACCTCTGTCTCAGCCTGGAGCTCTTACATGGCTGCATCCCGTGGCCTTACACAATGATTTCTTGGGCCTGAAATAAGGAAGGAGCTCTGCTAGCTTTACCCAGGCCAATAGTCAGAAATGGCAGGGATGTATCAGGAGACAAATTCCCTTCAACCAGAGCTGAGAGGAAGTTTTCTGTGATTATCAAAGCGAAAATGATGGGTTTAGGCACAAACCTGGATGGGGATCATCCCGCGGGGCTACAGTTTTCCCACAGGATTTCCTTCTTAAATATTTTAAGTGTCGAGAGTTTTTAAAAAGTGTAACATAAGGGAAAGGAAAGTACATGCCTAGACTCGTGGCTGAGCCTGCCTCTCCCAGCAGTGCTTATCTGAACGCCTTGCCCCAAAAGTACTACTTAACGAAAGCATAGTCAAGTAGCATAATTTTAAACTTCTGGGATGTTTGGGCCACTTTACTAGAACTAAGGATAAGCAGGTCATTCAAGTCCTCAAGTCCAAAATTATGTTAATTTCCATTCACAGTTCTAAGGGGCTGCTTCGTGGTTATTTCATAATGTTCTTTTGAAGACATAAAAATGATCCTGTGCCATTTTCTTATGTAAGAAAACAAAATTCAGAATCATTTTCCTACTTTTATGAGTTTTTTTCTTTCCTCTTCACTTAAATGATGTCACATCCACTTAAAACTATTCCCATTGATGATGGGGTGTAACCCAGGCACAACTAAGGCCAAATTGCTGATACCAAGAGAAAACCATCTCAACTGACCTTCTTATAACAGTTCATGAAATGCTTGACCTTTAGCACAAAGAAGGGAATAGAGAAGGAAATGTTTTTCTATTTTAGGAATAAATGTCCCTATCCTCTGCTAAGGAATCATAGGTATCTTTACAGCTCTTGTTACTCCAAGCTCTGTACACTTAACATTTTAAAACAACAACAAAATAACCAAGGTGTGGGAAAACCACCCACTAGCTATTGCTCTGTTAACACAGAAGGGCCAAGCAGTTTGCAGCGGGTATGAACACCCATGCCCTAGGGTCGACAGTCTCAGAGGCTTCTGTCTCTACACCCCTCTGGCAAGCAATGGGTGCCCCCACCTCTGCATTTAGCATCCTCCATTTTCATAACCAGGAGTGGGGGAGCTTGGGCCCTAGCTTGGTGATTAAGCTGCTTGTTTATAGCCATGTTTGGTTAAATCCTGCCACCACTAACAATGGCAACTGAGCCAAACCAGGCAGATGCAAACTTCTTTTGGTCAGGCATAATTTAAAAATGTGGTTAGTTCTTAGGTCAGAGCGGTTTCAGCAATCTGGGTTTCTATCCAAGCTTGAAGCAAGATTCCTTGCTTTAAGTGCCCCTATGTTAAAAGGGCTCCATTGGAGGCTGTACATTTGCTTTAGTTTAGTTTCAACTTAGATTTGTGCCTTAGCTCTAAGAGAAAGCATATGGGGGTAAGAGAAATGATTCCGCTCTCCAAACAGATTTCTTTAAAAAATCTCCCTATATTTTATGGAAAGAACAAATCCAACTATTAAGCTACTGATTAGCTGCTTCTCAAAGAAGTGAGGTGCTAGAGGATTTGCCAACACTTCAAAAAAGTAAAGCGGTAAATTGTCAGTTAGTAGTTAATGTGGTCTAGTGAGATACCTAAACTGGTAGTTCTCGTCCCAAAATGAATTTCTTTTGGTCTACACTGGCCTGTAAAATGTGACAGAATTTTTTTTTCTTGTTCCAAGTTTGACTCCAGGAAGTTCCTGGATTAAATATATCATTTCAGATATTTCACTTTACTTTAGATTAGGGGTAGTAAGTATAGAGTGTGATATACAGCCAGCCTCTTGAGCTTAGTCATAACCTGCCAGCACAGACTCTGGGGGAGCACACTGGTACTCAGGGGTTACTTCTAGAAACCCCCACTCACCTACACTTTGATTTCTGAGCTGTTCTCTGCCATCAAGGGGTGAGAGGGAAAGTAGAGGAGGGTGGAGAGAGGGAAGAGAGAAACCGAGACTGAGAGAGAAGGAATTTTAAACTTTTTATATTCTAAATAAAACAGTTTAACACAAGTCATTTTACAATACTGAAAACAGTACCAAAGAAATCTTGTCACCGGTGTTCACTTTATTTTCACTGGCTTTTTTATTCTTTTTCCCACTGTCAAAACTTTCTTGTCCCTTTAAAAGACCTACCCTAAGTAGAACACATAAGTCAAACTAATCATTTATGATCAATTAATCACATCAACAGAACACTGGAAATTAAAGAATGTCATCTTAGATTCTCCAACAAACATTCAAGTTCTCAGCGGCAAACCTCAAATTAAAATCTCACAAGGAGCGAGAACCACCAAATTCCTATGACTTACCTAGTTTGAGATGCTGAAGGAATCGGAAACAACTTTGAGTAAATGCCTCTTCTTTCCTCCCCTGACGTTTTCTTCTAGACTGTTTGCCGTTCCCACTTTTTTTTTTATCCAGACCCAGCCAAGGTGTGTTAGAGCTGAGTGATCTTTCAAAAATGTTCACTTCTCTCCCCCTTGTTTCTTTCAGTTCTTTGCTTTCAAACAAGTCCTGACAAAGGTGTGTCGAGGTTTAAAGCATGACTCCACCCTTCCAATTATCTGACACTTGCAGGATTAAAAAAAAAATCTGCCTCCCGGAATCAAACTTTACAGGAGGCAGAAAGCTTCTCCAGTTTAGAGCCATGGGATTAACCATTTATGGGCCATGGGAAAAGGGAACAAGGGTTCAGCATAAAGGAAATGACTGGTTTTTTTTTTTACATTTTGATTTTTTTTTATTTTTATTTTTTGTTTCTTTTTTTTTTCATTTACTTTTATTAATTGGAGGCTAATTACTTTACAATATTGTAGTGGTTTTTGTCATACATTGACATGAATCAGCCATGGATTCACATGTATTCACCATCCCGATCCCACCTCCCACCTCCCTCTCCACCCGATCCCTCTGGGTCTTCCCAGTGCACCAGGCCCGAGCACTTGTCTCATG